GCAACTTATTAGCTGTGTGACCTTAGGCAAACCACTTAACCTCTCTGTTTCCTGGTAATCATACTCAAGCACAGGCATAATTATGAAGATCAAATGAGATAAAATAAGTGGAGGACCTTTGTAAAATGTAAAGTGCTAGACAAATGTAAGCTATAATCATTTTCCTAAATTAGGTTTCTCCCCTGAGAATTGGACCCATTGACATACTGGGTTTGATTCCCAGAAATGAAATGCATCAGTGTCTAGAAAGTACTAGATTCTCTGCACGGGCCATGCATTGATTTCTCTAACAGAACTTAGACCTGAAGAGGTCAATCACCGTTGGGCTATACTCTGGTGGGGTCCTTGCCCAAAGGAAGAGGTCTGAGGTTGGTTGGTCTTGAGGACCATTGTTTGTAGGGGTCACCTGGCAGTCCTGGAGATAACCTTATCTCTGCAAGATTCAACCATTCTCCCATTCTTGGGATGGTGGTGGTGCCGTGCTAGCATAACCCCTGCTCGCCTGTATTTTCATCCACTGAACAGGTGGACTGCTGTGAGGAACAGGTGGAATTATGCAGGGGGAAGCACTTACCTTGGTGTTTGGTACACTTATAAACCCACTGCAAATTTTCAAATAAATATTGGTTATTATTATCATCATATGCTATGATGGTATTACTATTACTACCATTAGCATCAATAAGCACTAAAAAATTCATGTAAGGAAAGCTTTCTACTAGAATTTCCCTGCTGGCATTTGCAGAAGCTTCCCTTGGGAGGGAAGTGAGGTGGCCCCAGACTAGGAGACTTACTGGAAGAACCCGAGAGAGGACTGAGCTCTTGGAGGGAAATCCACGGGGAAAGGGCATTTAGTGGCTGAGCGGCACTGTGTGTTTGTGAGGGGAGGCAGGGGGTCTCGGAGCGGCTGCCCACAGGGTCAAGGACTGAAAGCCAAGCAGATGCCACAGGGCTCCCCTGCTAAGGAACAGAGGTGAAACTGGCATCTCCTGCATCAGCCCTCAGCCACAGTAACGCTGTCCCTTACCCAGTGACAGACCAGGGACATGCAAACAGTGGAGAGCAGGAAGGTCCCCAGCAGGTTCAAACTAGGGGAGCAGGACTGCACAGAATATTTTAGAATATAATGTTAAATTATAAAAGTAATTACCATAGATGCTCTAATTTCATTGCATATGTTGTCTTTTGCTAAAATTACTGAAAAATATAACCACTTTAGAGAAAATATGGAAAAGAGGAAAAAATGCTTCGTGTTATATCTTACTAATGTGCTTTTTTTTTTTTCTTTTTGAGACAAGGTCTCATTATGCAGTTCAGGCTGGCCTTGAGCTCACTTTGCAACCCAAGCTGGTTTCAGATGCACAATGATCATCCTCCCTCAGTCTCTCAAGTGCTGGGATCCAGGTGTGCACCACCTATACTTTAAAACAATATACTGCTAAGCTTGGGATGGTGCTGCATGCTTGTATTCCCAGCACTTTGGGAGGCTGAGGCAGGAAGATCAGATATTCAAACCCAGGCTGGACAACTAGTTACTTAGTGAGGACCTGTCCCCAGAAAAGCCAAACCAAAAATCCAAAACAAATAAACAAAACAAAACCAAAAAACAAAACAAAACAACAAAGAAACATTGCAGATACAGCTCAGTGTAAAGACAGAATACCAGAAAAAAAAAAAAAAAAAAAGAGCCTGCATGATACATGTGGGTAATTCCACCACTCTGGGAGGCTGAGGCAGGAGAATCAGAAATTTAAGCCTAGCCTAAGAAATTTAGGAAGACCTTGCCTCCAAATGAAAAATTAAAAAACAGCTGGGGATGTAGCTCAGTATGAATGCCCTGGGTTCAACTCCCAGTCCAATCAATCAATCAACCAATCAATTTGGCTAGCTAGCTAGGAACATAGCTCATCATTCCCCTGGTTCAATCCCCCAGTATTAGTGACACACATATACATACATACTTTTCCTTCTCAAAGTACTTTGATATAGTTCCTTCTGTTGTGCCCAATATTAAAAACAATTTTACTACTTTTTTCTGCTTTATTAAGTAATGTGCTCCCCTGGGAAATCTGAAAAAAAAATCCAATGTACAGATAATCACCTTAAACCCTTAGTATATTCCTTTTCTACGTATGCTTCTTTTATAAAAAGCTCCTAAAGTTTACATTGCTTTGCATACTTTCCCCCATTTTTAATGTCTCAAAGTTTCCTGTATTATTAAATATCCTACTATTTCAATGACTTTGTAACATTTTATTACACTCTAATTTGTTCAGTAACTCCCCATTGCTGGACATTATTTATTTACAGTGCTGGGGCTTGAACCTGGGGCTCCATGTGCTCCCCCACTGCACTACACCCCCACTGCTAGGTAGTTTTCTTTTTATATTATAAACGTCTTTATAGCTACACGTTTATAAATAGTCTTATTTTCTTTGGACATATTTCTGAATGATTTGGGTTAGGTCCATCACATTTTTGGGCTATAAAACATTGTCAAAACACCATTAGAAAACATTTCTCCTTTTTGTAAACCCACCAGAAATTTTCTTTCCGATTTACCTACATCATAACCAACAATGAGTATTATCACTGCTTATCTATTTACTATATTCACGCTACACATTTACAACCATACATTATGGTGTCCTGCTCTTTTTTTTAAATTAGCATTTCATCAGCATGCCCATGTTGTAAGATTTTTTATAATTGGTTACAAAGCGTTTATGAGATACTATAAGGAAATTTGACTTCCTCCTCTAAAGCACTTTTTTTTGTTGAATACTTAATTATTTTTCTCCAAAGTGAAAGACTGTAAGAAACACCTTCATGCATGGAAACTAAAAAAAGTCTAAATTATTTTTGTGGAAAGTACCCTCAAGAGTGAAATGACAAGAAAAATTTATAGGTTCGGCACATACTGCCAAATTGCTTTCCAAACGAATGTTAGGAGTTTATAAGCTCAATAGCAATATTTGTGAGAGTACCAGTTTCCAAGCACGTTCACCAGCACGGAAGTCTAAGACTGTCCCCTAGTTAGTCACTTAACAAACAAAAAGAGGTATGTACTATGTTGTTTGCATGTCTTCGGGTTGCTAATGACCCTGACACTTCCCGGTGTTTGTTTACTAGTTGTATTTCTGCAGATAACATTTTGGTAAATATCGAAAACATCACCAGGTTCTTTGCTGTTTATCTTGCACAAATTCTCTGTCTGGAGCACTGGAGTCGGCTCACAGGTAAACTGAGGAAGATACGATGCCAGCCTAGAACCAGGGCACCTACAATTCACGGTGACCTCCACGGAAACACGTTCTGAGCAGCACGAAGGGTCACGCCATCCACCCCCACCCCCAGGCTCCTCCCTGGCCAGCCCTGGAAGGTGAGCTGGTGTCGCCGGTCAGTGCGCAACGCCAGAGAAATGAGCTGAGGATGCTGGGGGGGGGAGGGGGCACGCAGCGTCTCTTCCAGGCCAAACGGGATTCCCCTAGGCCGGGGCGCGCACCGATCATCTGCAGGCTGAAATTGGGGACAGTGGTGTTGGGGTGGCGGTGGGATCTTGAGAACTCCCAGGCCCGGAGCTGGCGGGGCGGCTCCGGGGTCCGCAGTCCCCGAGGCGTCCAGTGTCTCCAAAAGCGTAGAGGGCTTCCGCGGAGCACTCGTTCCAGAGTTGGGCCTGAATTTGTTTCTGGCAGAAATTAGCGTTGCCCGGAATGTTCTAAAGGAGTCTGCGCGTGCAAACACGCGTGCAAACACGGTGGCCCCGAAGCCCCGGGCGTCGGGGTGGAGGCTGCCGCGCCGCACGCACGTGGTCGCCCGCGGACGGAGCCGGGCTCGGGGGTGGGGGAGGGCCGAGCTGGCCGAAGCGGGCGGGGCGTCGCCCAGACTCGCCGGGAGCGAGCGAAGTGGGGCCCGCGCCCCTCCGCCTTCCTCCCCCCGCTGCCTGACTCGCGCGCCCGGCCGGAGCTCGGGCTGTGCCCGGCCCAGCCTCAGCCAGACGCCGGGGAGACACGGCAGCGGCTGGGGAGCGTCGGCGGGAAAGGAACTGGCGGGAGAACAGCGGGAGGAGGCGGCTGGAGCCTCCTGCTGCGGAGCGCGCCCGGCCGCGTGGGGACGCCGGCTCCGAGCGCGCACGAGGGGCAGACGGGTCCCGCGACGGCCTGAGAGCGGCTGCCCGCCCCGCCCGGCCCGGCTCCCGGCGGTGGGGCAGAGCGGACGCGCGCCGCGGGCTGGGCGCTCCGGAGCCCGCAGGCTCGGGCCAGGGCGGGCGCCCCCTCCGGGCCACCTGCTGCCGCGGCCGCCCGCCGCAGTGTTTACACCCGGGCGCGAGCCCGCACGGCGGCGGGACGCGAGGCCCCGCCCCTCCGGCGGCCGCCCCGCCCTTCTGCGCCCGCGGCCTCGCTCGGGGTGCCCGGACCCCCGCTCCGGCGGGGTCAGCGGCTCGCCGGCCGCCGATGGGAAGACGGGCGGAGGCTGGGCCTCCCTGCGGAAAGCGACGTCACGGCCGCTCCCGCAGTGTAAATGAATCAAACGCCGGAGTGACCGCGGCCTGCGGGGCTGCCGGCGCGCGAAGGGTGGAGGGGGAGGGGAGAGGGCGGGCGGGGCGGGAGGAGGGAGAAAAGCGGAGCTGCGGCAGCGGCGTCTCGCGACCCGGGATGTGCACCGGCCCCGGAGAGCGACGTCAAAGCGATTGGGAACAGACTGAGGGCTGGCGGGGGAGGGGCCGGCCAGCCTGTGGAGTCCTCCCGAGGAGGCGGAGGGCCCGGCTTCCAGTTGGACTTCGGCGGCCTGCTTGGGTTTTTTATTATTATTTTAAAATTTCTGAATCCAGCTAAAGGGAGAGCGCTAGAGATCTCCGTAGACTGCGACTCGCTGGCTCTCGCTCCAAGATGATGCAGAGCGCGGCTGTCCCCGCGGAGGGGGCTGTCAAGGGGCTCCCGGAGATGCTCGGTGTGCCCATGCAACGTAAGACAACCCCTTTCTCGCCGATCTAATCCGGGAACAGGACGGCTCACAGCCTCAGCCGGTGCAGGCGGCGGGTCTCTGCTCGTGGCCCTGGCCAGAAGGGGCCGGCGGCTGGGCGCAGAGGCGGTCACAGGGCAGGGGCACCGGCCAGAGTGCGTTTAAAGGGCCTGGCTGTTGGCTGTCCGGGCGAATGTGAGAGCCTCCTGAGACACGCTCCAGGCAGGCCCAGGAGTCCCGGAACCTGCATCTCCAGCCCATAGAGCTTCTGAGAACGCTGGGTGGAGTGCTGCTTGGGGATGGGGTGGGTTGGAGGGCACGAACTGCCGGACCTGAGGGAGAGAGGGACCCCCCAAAACCATTTTCTTCCCGGGGCGACAGAAGCTTGCTGGACCAATAATGCAACTTCACCGCAGCTGGCGGGAAGTTGGAGAGTGCATCCCCCTCGCCTCTCTAGGTCTGGCGGCTCCGAAGCCCTGGCCCCACAGTCCATCGCCGCCGCCAGCCGAGGGCCAGCCAGCCGCTACTGCCCTCGGCACTGGCCGCCTGCGCCCCCGGGACGGACTGTCCCTGTGAGGGAATCCACTCGCCACATTCCAGAGGAATGTAGAGGCGAGAGAAGTGCCGGGAGGAAGTTGTGAACTCTGGGCTCAGTCTTAAAGCTAGCGAGGGCGGGCGAAAGATCCGGGTGGCTCGGGTTTGGAGAGTAGAGACGGAGGCCTGGGTGCTGGCCCCATCACTTTCTTCTGGCGCCTGAAGTTAGTACCGTGGGGGAGCTTGGAGCGAGTTTGCCCCAGATCTCTGTGTGTGTATCGGTGCACGCGCGCACAGATCTTCGCGGAGGGAATCGGTATCGCACTCTTGAGCTGACGCTCTGTGCAGACTGAAACAGGTCCCGAGTGTGGCGCGCGCGCGCGCGCGTGGCGAACGCTGCGTAAAGTCTTACTCTGCCGGCTGTGAGTTCTGCAGTGCGCCCCTGGGCACGGCGAAAAGGTGAAGGGTTCCCTCGGGCTTTTTGTCAAGGGACTGTACTTCTGCCTGGGGTGTAATTTCTTTAGGGGTGTAATAGCTAAGTCTTCGGCGCTTAAATAAGGAACAGCTCGTGGAAAGGTGAATGGTGACGCACTGGGGCGCTGGAGCGCGTCCTCCTGTGCCGCGGCTCTCCGTGGCAGGGACACCTCCACGGCAGGCTGGCCGGCAAGTGCCTAGACTCCCAGGGAAGTTTTGGAAAAAGACAAAGGGGATAGCTTGATACAAGCCTGTTTAGATTGTTTGTTGACTATATTCTTCGGCTATTCTTTGTGTCAGCAGTTGGCAAACAGGGTCAAGTCTAGGCTCGGCCGTGGGTAACTTACTAAGATGTTCTGAGGAGGCACGGGGGAGTCCGTGCGCTTGCGGCCCCTCACAGGGAATAACCCAAAGGGTTATTGCCCCTGCACAAACAGAAATACAGACCAGCCAAAGATGTACAGGACTTAAAGCTGATTGTAGCTGTATGAAAAGAGCGAGGGGACATACGAGAAGGGTAAAGACAATGTGTGTATGACTCCTTCCTTGGCGTCCAGCAAACCTGTACACAGATGGCTGCGGCTCCCAGGTGCCCTGTCAGGTGGGATGGCGACGAAATACAGCACCTTGGCTTTGTTCTGCCGGCCACTTTTTGGGATGTGCTGCCCTCAGATCGCCTTGACTTTTGTGTCTTTTACTCAAAGATGACTTTGGTGTTTGATGTGAGGAACTCACTTTCCTAAACCGTCCAGAACGCGCCTTCAGAGGTACAGCAGCTTGGTTAATGTTCTGAGTCTGGACACAAACTGTGGAAAAGTGTGGAAATGAGGTAAAGAAAGAACTCCTCCCCTCACAGTGGCCCATCTAGGCAATGTTGTACCAAGAGAGGTGGTCAATCCTTCCTTTGTCTTGCTTACATTCTGTAGACTTCATTAGCGGGGCACCAACCAAAATTGAGGGGCCTAATATCTGAGGAATTTGGAAATCTTCTGTGTGTAAATTATTCCTTCCCTGGGAGCAGATCTGGCCATAGACTGTTAGGATGGTGCTGGGACTGGGGGACAGGTGGGTGTGGCCCCCTCAAACCCATACACACAAACATGTTCTTCCCTGGGACTCCAAGCCCAGTGGCTTAAGAACCTGGTGTATCGAGGGTCACCCCATTAGCCCTCAGGAAGGGAGAAGAGTAGTCCCAAGGCCCGAGGGTACTCAAATTCTGGATGAGGGAAGGTGAGAAAGGCTTTCTCCCCAGGGGTGCCTTCTACGCAGGTTTGGATTGCACTCCCCACACCCACCAATGCAGATGAGTTCCAGTCTTTCCTCATCCTGAGCCACCACAAATCAGAAATGGGGGCGCAGGTCTCAAGATCCATCAACTTCAGTCGCCTGGTGCCCTAGCCTCTAGGGGCATTTTAGGAGTTTATATCCACTTTGTCTCAGGGGAGGTGGAAATATTCAGTGGAATGTTAGTAGGTAATGTAATAATTTTTCTTCCTTTGGCATTTTCTGTCCACAACCCTGTCCTCTTCCTTGCTAATCTGTTTTTGCCGCCTGCCCCTTTTGGCTCCTGGGTCGGCTCCTCTTCAGCGCTGCCATCCCCCTAGTCCTTCTCCCTACAGAGAAGTCTTGCTGCCAGGTCTCCTGGCTTCCGCCGAACACCACATTCCAGCTCCCCCAACGGCTAGAGGGAACATCTACTCAGAGCAGAGAGCTGGGAAGGAACCGGGCGGGAAGTAACTGGTTGCCTTCCCAAGAGCAATCCTGGTGCAGAAGTAGAGCCCCCTCCCCGCAGATCTCGGTTGGCCAGCTGCCCCCCACCCTCCGGCCTGTGTCTCCCGCGGAACTCGGGACCTGCTCTTTGCCGGGTGACGCTCCGTTTCAAGCAACCTGCGGCGCCTGCGGGTTCACCTTCTCCGCGCGCCAACCTTGGGAAGGGTTTGACATCTTGCTGTCGCTTTTTTTGGCGAGGGAGTGTGGATGGGTTTGGAGAGGGACCTCATCTTAACTGGCAGGTTCCGGCTTCTTGGCCATGATTTTGTGTCGAGAGTTTTCCACCCACCGCCCCTCTCCTTCCGGGCACATCCAGGCCGTGTCCCGATGGGCCCGCAGGTGCGCCAGGCCGGGTGCTCACAGCGCCCGCCCGGAGCCGGAGCCCCACCGAGCAGCCGGCAAAACTCTTGTGGAACTCAGCGGCCCCTTCACGCATCTGGGTTCTGCCGGGCCCTGTGGTGGGCTGAGAAGACCCAGAAAAGTGCCAGATTCAGACAGGAAGCTGGGGCGTCTTAAGTCCACCCTTTGCCCTCGGTTCTGACCCATCTCCCACTCAGTCTTCCCGGTCCTCTGATTGCTGGGGAGTGGAGGGGGACTGGGGTGACCCGCGCGGGAGGGACCCCAGTCGTTTCCCACGCGGCTGGGTAAATGGGAAGCAGGTCCGGGGCGTTTCCAGGTCTAGAAGGACCGCTTCCAGCAGGCTCCTGCGGATCCCGAAGATTCGGCAAAAGCAATTTTGTATTTGGTAGAGTCTGGATGAAGGACTTCTCCGGGACGCCCCGCTACACTCTCCTCCGTTTCGGGGCGCCCCGGGGTGTACAGAGCTAAATTTCCCCGTGCAGGCCGGGTTCTGAATCTAGTCCTGCACTGTTGTTTTTCTGCAGCGCTGGGGTTTTGCAACTTAGTTCCTCGGGCCGGCACTTTTCTCAAACTAGTTCTGAACACTTTCCTTTCCATTGCTGCTTTGTCTTGTAGTGCGAGGGAAAACCCACCAAAACCTGTCTAGGAAGATGTGGAGAGAGAGTCCATGGGACTGCGATGCAGAATTTCAGACAGCAACCCGGGTGCCCCCGGCCTCCCTCCCTGCCTCGCCGAAGTATCCTCAGGCGCAGGCCAGTTTTTTAAAGGCCAGGCTGGCCGTCTTCACCTGCCCGCGATTTAAGCCTGGTGCGTTGGAGGTCAGATTTCCTGACCGCCGGGAATCTCCCGCCTCAGCTGAGAACTGTGGAGAAGGAAAAGTGGAGAAATGGGGCGACCGGGACAGGGTTTAGCTTGGGACCGGAGTGGCCGAGAGCGCCAGGGTCCAGATCGCCTTTCCAAGCCCCGGATCAGAGAGGACAGAGAAGGTGATGGTGGTGGTGGGGTCGGGAAGCCGCAAACCCAGTGCCTCGGGGTGCAGAATTAAGGATTTTAGAGTGCAAACACCTGCGCTGAGCGGGCGGGAGGGACAGGCATCCCGGGAAGTCGCAAAGTCGGGCCGAGGTCTGGGAACTCAGCCCTGATTCCCGCGTTTGATTTTTTTTTCTTTTGCCCGCGGGCACAGCTCGAGGAAAGCCAGAGCCGAGCAGGTCTGCGCGGGCCGGCAGGAGTGGCGTCCTCGGGTCTGGGGCGCGACCCGCTTGACCTGGCCGCGACCGGGGCATGTCGTCTCCGCCCCGCGGGCCAGCGCCGGCCTGGGTGGCCGAGGGGCGGGTGGACAGCGCTTCCCGCGTCGGAGCTGCGCACCTGCGGGCGGCGCGCGGTTCTGGCGCTCGCTGGACGCCGCGCTGCATTTTGAGAGCCTCGCGCGTGGAGGCGGATGCGGGCAGGCCGCGCGGGGATAACCGGCGGGCCGAGGTGGCAGCCGGGATGGGCACCGGAGGGGCGCTCGGGTCCGCCTTGCAGCGCCCTCGGCTGTCCTGCGCCTCGCCCTCGTCCGCTGTCCATTCGGTGCCTGTGCCAGTTCCTTTTCCAGGTTCGCTCACCCGAACACGCGGGACTGGCGAAGCTGGGGGTCCGTTTTGTGCCCCTTAGAGCGGCGACGGGGACTTTTTGCTGGAGGAGAGGAGTGGCAGGCGGGAGTAGACCGGGTTCAAACCCCTGCGCCCGAGCATTGAAAAGACAAAACTAACACCTCCGCGCCCGCGGCACGAGGCTTTTGCGTGACTGTTTGAACTTTGGAAAGCGATGCTCTCGTGTGGGGAGCGTCTCCCCTCCGGGCAGCAGCTCCGCGGCCCGCGCGTTCTCCCGGTTCTGTCCGTGATCCAGCCTCGGCTGCCCGCTCTGCCCTCCGGCTTAGCGGATTTGGCCAGCGCCAGGAATGTGACAGGCTGTGCAGAGACGAGGTTTCTACCTGGGCGGCCGATGATGGACATTAAATTCCACCAGGGAAGGGGGTTAGTGACACCGTGCCGTCGTGGGGCTGGATGCCCGGGCTGGCCTGGCACCGGGCACAGGCTTCACCCGGTGTCGCTCAAGGATTGGGTTTTCCCACAACGGGTATATGGACCTGGATGGAGCTTACATAAAAATGACACAGCATAAAAACCTATCTCGTATGAATTTAAATAAGTATATCACACGTATTTAAAGTTTAGATAACAGGGCAATGTGACTTAAAGGGCTCTGAAAGGTGAAACTGATGAAGAAAAAGCGTTATTAGAACAGCCGGGGGCAGGACCAAACCCGGAGCATCAGGAAATTGAAGGAGGACCGCGGGGGCTGGGTGTCCCTCCGGTCTTACGCCCCCAAACAAAGAGGGGTTAAGGCAAGAATGTGGGCTGAAAGCTGTGAGGATTAGGGCAGCCGGAGCCGTCAGGGCCGCGTGGAGACTGCCCACCGGGCTGCAGATAGCCGGCTTGATTTTAAAATTCGAGTCCCCGACAGGTGAGGTGGGGGTTGAAGGAGGCCGGAAACCGAGAAAGCAATTTTTTCCTATTGAGTAGAGAAAAACACAGGGCACAGGGCGTGCTGTATTTTGGACAGCGACCTAATGACCCCACAGACCAGGTGTAGACAGCCTCAAGTCCTAAATATTTGCATTGTCCTAATTTCCCATTTGCCTGGGATTTTAGTGCCCTTTCACTGTGTTACAGTCAATTAGTGATTACCTAAAACCTGCATTAGCAGAGTGTGTGAGAGAGAGAGAGAGAGAGAGAGAAAGGGGAGACGGAGAGAGAGAGAGAACTCAGTGCGGAGAGGACCAGAGGGGAAGGGGCAGAAAGGTCGCACTTACAGTTCCACAGGAATAGAAAATTAGTTAACAGGGATTAACAACCTGCTCTTTCTACACATTAGGTTGTTAAATCTCCATGGAGCCTCTTGTTTTAGGCAGGAATGGTGGCTAGTTGGTGGATTTCCCTGCTGGGGAGCTTGGGTCCTCCAGATGCAGAGTTTTGGATGGGAGTGGATGGAAGGAGCTGGATAGAGGGACCTTGTGCAACTTCCTTCAATTAGGGAAATAGATCAGGAAGGAGCTGGGAAGCTTTGGACCACATAGAAACTTGGGACGATTTTTGCTGATGAGAAGAGGCAAGGAGTATTGTTACACACTAGGAAACCTGAGATTGGAGAGAGACTGAAGCATTAGTTTTTGTGGCAGCTCCAGTTACATTACGGCACACACTGGATGTGGAGATGGCTGGGCAGGGCTGTTTACTTCGTAAGTGGTTTTCAGCCCTTTTTCTCGTCCTGCAATGAGTGTTAATAATGCCCATAAGGTAGCTATGAGCAAACTGGATCTAGTGCTTTTAGTAAAATTCCAGCAGGACTTGGTATCTTGAAAATCTCTCTCACTTCTTCTTGCCCCTTTCTTTGTGGAATATTTTCAGGTAAAATGAGGTTGAGTAGGAACTCACAGGGCTTCCTGGGAGGTCTTGTGTCCAGCATCTGCAGGGTGAGGAGACCCATTTCTTGCTTTCTGTCTAGGAGCTTTGGAAGGGGAGCACAAGACCAAGCTGCCCTTGAGCTGGGCTTCTCTATTGTTATTTGTGATAGGAGGAAATCACTTTCAAATACTGCAGCGAGATTTTTCTCTCTTTTAAAAAAATTCTTCAGTTTTCTAGGATCCTTGATCAAAATGGAGCACAAATCAACAACAGTTGCTATTGGGGGTACGGGAGCAGGTTGGGTTTAATTGACAAAACTGGAATTGATTTTCCCTTGGAAAATGTACCTTTGGTTAACTGTGTTACCGGCAGGCTGGGTAATCACCCTGGGAAGTGAGTTCTGATGTCTGGTGTGGTTTTAGTGGGTTTTTTTCCCTCTGATTCTCTATGCCTTTACTTTGTCTGTCCGGGTCTAGCCACAGATGTTTTATTGTGGTACCTCACCCCCAAATGCCTTTAAAGTATCATTTGCTTTAATTATAATGGTGGGGGTTAAGGGACTGGTTCTGGGAATAGTTCAATAGAGATAAAACTTGCAGCCAAATTAATTGTAAGTTTCTTCTTATGAGGGAGAGGTTGCCAAACATATGGAATATTGCTATGGAATGAGACATCAGAAAAATACATCATGGAGATTTAGCAATGATTAAATGTGAAAATGGAGTGGAAATAGAGATGTGTCTACAGCATTTCCTCACATTCTCATGGATTTATTTAGTATAATTTTCTGCCTTATTTACAATTACTGAGAATACTCAATATCTTAGCTGAAGCATACTAATTCGTGGACATATATCATCTGGAAGATAATCCTCTCCCTTCAAATACATATTGATATTGTTTATTTCATTGGCTACCAGATTCTTCCTATTAAAATATTATCCATATTACAGCCTTAAAATGTTAACTTCAAAATTAGCCCCAGAACACTTTGGAATGAGCTGTTATTGAAGAGGTTACTATTTTTGAGCTATCTAAGATGAAAAAGAGTAAAGGAGGATTTCAAAGTAAAACAAGTATAACATATTTTGGGAAGGATTCCGGAAAGGAAATGAAAGGACAGATGAAAGTGTCATTAATTCTGAGACAAGAAAGATTTTCTTCTGTTTGCCAGGCATTTTTCAAGACAAACCAAGAAAAACTAGACATTAAATAACAAGGTGCTTGTAGATTGATGTGTTTTTAAGCATTTAAGTGGGTATAATTATGATAGAGAATATAATTCTCCTCAACTGTGATACCAGCTTTTAAAAATACACTTTCTCCAATATTTTTTGTTGCCGGCCCAGCTCTCTCTGCTTAGAGCTGCTGTCAGCGTCATGAAATATCACAGTGTTCAGTGCACCTTCCCCCTTGAGTTTTAAAGTACTGATATTGGAATGCTGTGCTGCCACTGTGTTTAGGAGGATATTCTTACTTTATGAAAATAGCTTAAGAGAGATTTTATAAGACATTTTAGAAAATTACGTTATAGTTTTTAAAAGAAACTATGGATTATTAAATAAAAATGAGCTGTCTTTAGTAACAAATAAAGAGCCAGGGAGGGAGGGGCAGCACCACACACGCGGTCGTGCTTTGTCAGGTGAAGCTGTCTTTGGCTTCTCCTGCGTACAAGGTGCTGGTTAATGTCAGTTGATTTAAGAGGGAGCTGTGCCAGAAAATGGGATTTTATTGTCAGTCATGATGATGACATTTTTGAATTGGAAAGTTTTATTTTTGAAATACTTATCCAGTAACGAAACTTTAATTTTAGCTCACTATACATCTCTTCTAATGCCTCACCTGGGATAGTTCAAAACACAAGTGTGCCTTTAGGCAGATGTGGTGTAGGCAGGTGTGACCCTAAGTCCTGTGGTCCTAGATCACTAATACACTTCAGAATTAAAATCATTCCAAACAAACCATGAGCCCCTTGCTGAGTGTTTCCCTAATTTGCCTTTTAAAATCCAGCTTTCGCTTTCACTCTCAGGAACAGTGAGGAGGGTTTGGAGGTGGCAGGCAGCAAAGTCTGCCGGTTTTTGCCTCTTTACAAAAAAAATGAGAAACTCCAGAAAATAGTTTCCTTAAAGCTTTTTTTTTTTTTTTTTTTTTTTTTTTGGCTTCTCCCTATATTGTCTTTATAGATAGTAAAGAAACTTAAATAAAATTGTTTGGGGAAACACACATCAGCTGAATGCTAATTAAGACAGAGCTCAAAGCAAAGCAAAACAAAACAAAACTATTTACCTAAAAAAGTCACCTAAAATGAATTTGGAGGGAAAAGTCCCAGAGAGAGAGAGAGAGAGAGAGAGAGAGAGAGAGAGAGAGAGAGAGAGGAGAGAGAGATGGCTTTGATAAGCACTGATGGTAATCTTCAGTGGGCTCTGGAAACCATTCTGAAGAAAAAGGTTCTAGCCCCAATTCAGCCCCCAACTGTGTGCCCACAATTAAGGAAGCTCTTATTCTTGTAAGCTTCACAGGTAGACAGCATCCACACAGGG